GGAGAGGTCTGCTTGACTCGGGGTGACATAGCCGTTTCTAACCTGTTTTTGCACTTTGCATCTTTCTCCCTCCTCTGTCTCCCTCTGTCCCCTCTGTGTGCACTGCCTTTCACTCCGTAGTTCTTGGGGACACATACAATATTCCTTTAGACCCCCGAGGTAAGCAGTGCGGCTCTGCAGCCCCCTCCTTCCCCGCCAAAGCCCTGATTCCCTGGGGACCTGCTCTCAGGATCTGTTGGGGGTGGGGCCCGAGGGGACATGAGACCTCCCAGGGTGCTCTTACCTTACGCTGCTCCCTTCACAGCCACCTTGTCCCTGAGCCAGCCTCTCCAGCCTGCCATGTTCAGCCCCTCAGTCTCCCTACTTGGCCTTCTGCTCTGCAGGCAGTGTGCCCCCCTTACTCATAAGGGCCTGGTGGGGGGATTGTGGGAAGTGGAAAGATGATAGACCCCATTCTGAGAGTTGGCTGTTGGCAAATGGGAAAAGTGGGCCTTGTAGGTACCGCCCAGCATGGGTCGGGGCCAGGGGTGGGGAGCCTGGTGTTCCACTCCTGTCCCTCCAGCCTTTCTGCTGACATGGGCTAGCTCCCTAACTATACCAGCCCATCACAATAAAGCATCACCTTGGATGCCCAAAAGAGTGCAGGGGCAGCACTCCTGCCATAGGATGCAACCCAGCAGCTCAGCAGGCACCAGCTCTCCTGAGGAAGCCAGGGACTCTCCCAGCATTTCCTCTGCTGCTCCTTGGGTGGGGGAAGGCCACTGAGGATCTTGGCCATTGCCACCACCATCACAGGACTTCTTTTCTCACAGAGACCAGTTCGTCAGCCACCAGCTACAGCTCTGAATTCAGCAAGCGACTGCTGAGCACCTATATCTGTGAGTGTCTTCTAGAACCTTTTCCCTGCCTTTTCCCTCCCTTCCCCTTTCTGTGTTCGCCAGCTATTCGTGCATCCCTCTCCTGACCTTAGAATAGCAACCCAAGCTCTAGTTCAGGGGCCAAGGAAGTTGAGAAGGGCTCAAAAGGCCCTCAAGTCAGGATGACAAGGAATAGTCAGGAATAGTCTCATGGTTGGGTCCCATGGTTGGGCCATCTGGGTCAGGCTGCCTTGAGGGTGTTGTCCCATCTTTCCCTGTGCAGGTAAAGTCCTGGGCAACCTGCAGCTGAACTTGCTAAGCAAGTCCAAGGTGTATGAGGACCCAGCACTTAGCGCCATCTTCCTGCACAACAACTACAACTACATCCTCAAGTCCTTGGAGAAGTAAGTGGCTGCAGGCAAAGCTCTGCACCCTCACCTCACTCACCTCAGCCTGGGCAGCCATTCCAGCTTCTGCCCTCCAGGGCTGGCTGCTCCTGAGTGCAGGCAGGGAGAGCCACTTTGCTCTTTGTAGTCCCCAACTAGCGAGCACTGAGTGCTGCTGCCTTCTAGCTCTGGAAATTTCAAGATGGGATCGGGGGCCCTCCTTCCTGGTAATGCTGCCAAGGCCAGCAGCCTCTGGGCCCCAGGAACCCATTCTTTTTTTTTTTATTTTAATTTTTTAAAAAATATATTTTTTTTATGTGGTGCTGAGAATCGAACCCAGTGCCTCACGCATGCCAGGCAAGCATGCTAGCACTTGAGCCACATCCCCAGCGCCCCCCCCCAGGAGCTCATTCTGTCCTTCTCTACTCTATCTCTTTCCTGCATCCAGGTCCGAGTTGATCCAGCTGGTAGCCGTGACTCAGAAGACAGCTGAGTGCTCCTACCGGGAGCACATCCAACAGCAGATCCAGACTTACCAGCGCAGGTGAACAGCCACCCATCCTCCTGCTGGGCCCAGGCTCCTAGCCACGTCCCTGCCCCGAGCCCACACATAGTCTTCGTTCTCAATGCCTTATAAGAGGAAGTCAGTAACTGCTGCCCTGTGGACGCCATCCTCCTCTTTTTTGTTGTGTTTTGGTGCCTGCGATTGAACCCAAGGCTGCATCCTATGGCAGGAGTGCTGCCCCTGCACTCTTTTGGGCACCCAAGGTCACTGCTTTATTGTGATGGGCTGGTGTAGTTAGGGAGCTGGCCCATGTACACTGAGCTGCACCCTCAGCCTTTTATTATTTTCTTTCTTCACTTATTTTTATTTATTTATTTGTTTGTTTATTTGCTTTTTTAAATATTTATTTTATAGTTGGACACAATACCTTTATTTCAATCATTTATTTTTTACGTGGTGCTGAGGATCAAACCCAGGGTCCCACACATGCAAGACGAGCGCTCTATTGCTGAGCCACAACCCCAGCCCCACACTTATTTTTTTTTTTAATATTTATGTTTTACTTATAGGTGAACACAATATCTTTATTTTATTATTATTTTATTTTTATGTGGTACTGAGGATTGAACCCAGTGCCTCACGCATGTTAGGGGAGTACTCTGCCACTGAGCCCAAGCCCCAGCCTTTCACTTATTTTTTAATCAAATTCACATAGTGGAGAGAGGCCCCCCTGCTGCCTGCTATCCCTTGGTTTCTTCAGAGTGGGCTGCCAAGTATCATGGCTAAGAATAGTTGAAGCTCTGACTGCAAAAATGTGGGTAATGTTTAGCCCAAGAGTAGAACAGAGTTTTAAGAGCCTTGAACTTGGCTGAGCCTTTTTCTTAGGTCCTCACTGCTTCTCTGGCCCTCTGTTCTCCTTGGCTTGTTTCTTTCCCTTCAGTATCTCTCTCTTCTCTCCTCTGCTCCCTCCTTTCTCATCTGTTTCTTCGTCTTGGCCATGATATCCATGCAGTTGTCAGTATCTGTTCAGTTTATTGAATGCCCTGTTTCTTGTTCTTAATTTTTTTTTTTTTTTGGAGTTGATTTTTATTTATTTTTTATTAGTTGTTCAAAACATTACAATGCTCTTGATTGTTCTTAATTTTTAAAGTGAGCAGCTTAGACATTTTCTATTCCCAAGGAAAAGATCCCAGTTGTTTTGTTTAGTTGTAATCTAGATCGATTCCCAGCCCCCAACCCCCACAGTAGATCAAGAAATTAAAAAAAAAAAGCCAAGGCCAGCAGAGGCCCTGTCTCCCTAGCCTCATGCGCTCTCCCTGCTTTCTGGCAGTTGGTTAAAGGTGACCGATTACATCGCAGAGAAGAATCTACCTGTGTTCCAGCCTGGAGTCAAGGTGGGCTTAAGGTCTGGGCTAGGAAGAGACATTGAGCAAATGTGATGCTTTTGTTGTGTTTCTGGGGAAAAATGGACAAAATCCCTCTGGGATCAGAAAGCAAAGGATGTGTATGACCACGAGGGTAGCAGGTGGGTGGACTGGGACCCACAGTGTTAGGAAAGATCAAGGCAGGTTGATTCTGCACTGAGCAAAGCTTTCTCTGGCCCGCTTCCATCCCTCTCCCTACCCCACCAGCTCCGGGACAAGGAGAGACAGATGATCAAGGAACGTTTTAAGGTAAGTTAGGATCTTTCTACTCTGCTGCTTGTTGCTGCTATTGTGCCATCCCAGACCCAAAGTTTTTGTCTCTGGTCCCTTCTCTTTCCACCCTTTTTGTGGCCAGGGCTTCAATGATGGCCTTGAAGAACTGTGCAAGATCCAGAAGGCCTGGGCTATTCCAGACACAGAGCAAAGGGACAAGATTCGCCAGGCACAGAAAAACATTGTCAAGGAGGCCTATAGGGCCTTTCTGCACAGGTAAACCCTGCGTTGCCCACTTCCCCACTGGGCTTTGTGCCCTCCTTTTCCTCAAGGAAAGGAGGAGGGTGTGGTGGACCTAGGCAGAGATCCAGTCTGGGCTTTGGGACATCACTAAGGGGTATCCCACTCCATCTCTGAAACCCTATCAGAAGTGCCTTAGGTGGAGGGTGGAGTTGAGGAGGAGTTGGCCTCTCCCCTCCCCTTGACCCTGGTGCTTGATCAGGTATGGCAGCGTGCCCTTCACCAAGAACCCTGAGAAGTACATCAAGTATCGCGTGGAGCAGGTGGGCGACATGATCGATCGCCTTTTTGACACCTCTGCCTAAGCCCGCCAGTGTCTCTGCCTGGTTCCACCAGACTAACCATGTTATTGGAAAGATAAACCAGTGTTAACTTGCCTCTGGGCTGGGTGAGTTTGAAGTCCTTTGGGACAGAGCCCTCTCTTCACCACCCCTTCCGGAAGTCCTATCCCTTTAGACCTGGTGTCTGCTTCTTCCAGGCATCCCACATTCCCCACCAAACCAGCACTCTCCCAGAACTCAGAGGCTTTTCCCACCTTCTATGGCTAAGCACAGCTGGAAGGACCACATAATAGCATCTGAAACAGGAAAGAATGAAGACATGGTGGTTCCCCCAGCTACCAAGAGCAGGAGGGCAGACCCTAACCCCAGTCTAGTTCAGAACTAGAGATGGAGATCTCCTTTTTAGCTCAGAGATGTGGGTAGAGATCAGAGGAACAGGCCATACCACAGCCAGGAGGCTAGAGAAAAGGCGATCAGGGCTGACCCACTCTTTTGGAGTTAGTGCATGGTCCACTGTCCTGAGATCTGGGGAAGTTCCACCTCCCAGAAGTTCCCCAGGTGTTGGGGGGCATGAGTGCTCTCTCTCCATTCCCTCCCAGGAAGTGTTTAGAGGAGTTCTGACCCGCCCTCTGGGGCTAGCCGCTCATATACCTGTCTCCCTGTCCCTGGCATCAGTGAATGGCAGCAGTGGTCACAGAAAGAGCAGTAAGGTTGAGTGTGTGGGGCGGGACACTGGTGGATAATGGCCAGCAGTTCAGGAGCAAAGTATAAAGGGTGTAAAGTCAGGCCTCACCTACTTAGGATGAGAGTGAACAGTTGGGTTCAATGAAGGCAAACCCTTGAGGTGCACTTGCACCGGGTGATGGGTTTATTTCTCACTCTGCTGCTACACACACAGAGGGGCGAGCTCAGGGTGCTCAAGGCTCCCAAGAGTTAAGCAAAGAGCCATCCCCTCTGTCCAGAAACCCTGTCCTTCTCTCCCTCCAGTCTCAGGAAACCACACCTCATCCTAAGGTCTACAGCACTGGGCCCTGTTACAGCCTGGGTGGCCCACCATGAGGGACAGCCTTGCCAGGGGCTGGGTCAGACTTGCATGTTGCCCATATCCATGTTCCAGCAAAGATGAGCTGGATGCACACCACACTGGTCACATATACGAGGAAGAAGGTATGATCAGCAGCCTCAGCCCAGCTTCTCCTTGACCTCTTTCCTCCGCTGGGGTCTGCTGCGGGGAGAGAGGTAGGGAAAGAAATGGTTCCCAGGGCTCCTTCTCTCAGAGCAGAAGGGTAAACCCTAACAGTTACCAGCTGTATGCCCCCCGCCTTAGATTCTCAACTAATGAAATTTCAAATCTAGCCCCTCCCAGGCTACTTCCAGCAGAGAAAAAACCCTCCTAGAGAGTTCTGCAAGACATGGGGTTTTCTGGGGGGATCTGAGGTTACCTGGGCCACTACCCCAGATAGACATGCTTCTTCCCAGGGAGGGCACAGTGGAACCCAGGGACAGTGGTGCCAGCTTCTGCCCTATCGAACCTGCTACTAAAGGCTTCACTCCTCACCACTCTCAAGAAGGGGCCTTAGTGCCTGCCCACCTTCAGAATTAGGCCCCAGGTTCTCCTTTCTCTGCTCTCTTCTTGGGCCTGGGCTGGGGCTACTTTTGTCCCCAAGACTATCCCGAGCTAGCAGCCCAGCCAGCAGCACGGTCTCTGTGGTGCTAAGAAAGAGCAGCAGTAGCAGGACTGTGAAGTAGTAAACTGGGAAGGGGAGGGGACAGGAAGTCAGGGGTTTGGCTGGGTAGAGGCTCAGGTATGGGGGAGGGGGGCAGGCCCACTAGAGTCCTACCCAGAGCCAGGGGAGGAAGCAGGCCTTACTGAGCAGTGGGTTGCAGGAAGAGGAGCTAGGCAAGGCCTGCACCAGGGAGGAGTGGAAGACCAGGTAGCCCAGCAGCAATGTCACCTTGTAGGCAATGCGTTCCGTAGCCTGGAGGGGCAAAAGCCCCCCACACACATCAGCTAACAGCAGCGCCTCTCCAGGTACCAGCAGCGCTATGATGGACTTGAGTGCTGTGTTCTTCAGGCTCAGCTAGAAGGAAAAAAGCGTTTCCCAGGGGATGGGAGGATGGGCAGCAGAGGGATGGTGTCATGCCTTTGGCTCCTAACCCACTCCCCTCCCCTTGATCAGCCTCTGCCAGTCGCTTCCTAATTCCACTCACCGTCACCTGGAAGCAGGGTACTACCTGCAGGGGCAGGACTTGGGTTTTCAAGTCACGAACCACATATTCCCTCTTGACACTCACAATCTCATTCACCGCATGGGCCCGGAACTCCAGCTCCCTCACTGAAAGGAATGGGGATGGGAATGGTGAACCACTGGGAAGGAGATATCCCTGCCCTGCCCCCCAATCTCTTGAGGGTAGGAATAGAAACAAACTGGAGCCCAGGGATGATGCAGACATCTGATGACTCTGGGGAGCAGAGATGGAGGAGGAACTGGTAAGTAGGAGGGCTTGCCAGACATTTTGCAGCACCTCAGATTGTCTTCAGTTAAAGGAAGGGTCTTATCAGATTCACTGATGAGTTTTCATTGTAGAAATAAATGCACTTTGTACCACTTGATGGCAGGGAAGTGATCACAGACTCATCACTGGCCCATCATCTCATACCTGAAATATTAGGGTCTGTGGGCACTGGCTGTGGTCTTTCATAGAGAAGAGAGATGTGAGGGGAGTTAGGAATTCCCTACCAATTTAGATGCCACCTGTTTGGTCTGTGGATATTTATTATCCACAGTTTCCTTCAAAAAGTGGGGCCACAGCAATCTGAGCTTCTGGGCTTGACACAAGTGGCCCAGCCACTGCAGTTGGCCCTGGCTGTTGAGAACAGGTGCTCTGGGGAGGGAAGACTGAAGTGAGCAGGCCCCTGGATGAGGGCAGGGAGAATGAGGGGAGATGGGCTGCTGTCTGGGAGGCACAGGTGAGATGCATTTCCATTCAGCTCCCTTAAGCCAGGGGATAGATTGATCTGAACACAGACCTGTGCTAGAGGTCAGGGTCCCCTCCCCTCTGCCCTCACCCCCAGTCCCCACCCTGACAGCACCAGTGTTGCTAAAAGCGAAGAAGCTGAGGCTGCAGTCGCTCTTGTCTCTGGGGAAGTGGAGGAGCTCAAAGTCGCAGTTGGTCTCTGTGGTGAGAGCCAGGTTAAGCTCCACATGGCCATCTGGGTCTACTCGGGCCTGTGGGTTCTGGTCCTTCCAGTCCACCCAGAGCCTGTGGAGAAAGGTGCACAGACAGAGGCCCAGCCTCTTCTTGGACTGGAAGGGAGCGGGGAACTACATTTGGTACTGGCAGCACCAGGTGGGGAATAGCCACCAAGAATGCCTCTGGGCTCTAGGGGGAAGGGGAGGAAGGATGTACACCATGGGTTTCTGGAATGAGAACTTCTGCCTCACTCACGCTTCCCGGATGGTGAGTCCAGGCGTCCAGAGTGATTCACAGGGCAGTATGACTGCATGCCGAGAGCGCGCACTAGCATTCCAGGCCAGGCGAGCATCCAGCCAGGACTGAGGGTACAAGGATACCATTAAGGTCCCATTCACACATACACACCCCCAAGATTAGCCAGTTGATGAAAGCCACGTTCTTTGTCCCATCTCAGCCAGGACAGGAGCTCACCAGCCTGAGCATCATCATAGAAGACACTGTGTACCGCAGGATGTCCTGGGAGAGGGGAGCAACATATCACCTCACAGGTGCTACGTGACAAAAAGAGGCAGGAGACCCAGAACTAGTGGACATTAAGTCCTGCCCCTTCCCCAAATCAGCATTTGGGTCCTGTCCCCTCCCATAGCCAGGCGGCACTTACCACATTAAACACATTGGACACAAACACCTGCACATTCACTTGCAGGGGTGCACTCCCGTTGTTAGGAATCTGGATGGTTTCATGGACCTCTAGGGGTGAGTTGAGGTCGAGGGAGGATGGCCAGGCTGAGGGGTAAAGGTTGAAGTTATTCTGAGGCCCCAATCCCAAAGCTTACTCCCTCCACCTGGCAATTAGACTTACATAGGCTGGATCCTTGGACCCAGGATGGGATGCTGCTGAGCCCAAGGAAGGCAAGATGGAGCAGGATCCACAGGGACATCATTTGTGGCTCCCTGGAGGGCTGGATAGAGCAGCAGGTCCTAAGCTGTGACCTATATTTCAGTCACTTACCTGGGGCCTGAGCAATTTGAGGGAGGCAGCTGCTCTGCTCAAGGACTGGGACCTTGGGCTTAGCAACCCCTATGGTTCTGGTTCCGCAAACACCCAAAGACAAAGGCCAGGACCCAGCCCCACCCACCTTGCACCTGCCTAGGCGTCCCTGCCCTGCTCCATTTCCACCACCTGGAACCTATTACCTCATTCAAAGCCTGCCAAAGCAGGTGGGGTAAGCTTGGGACCCCCATCTCTCCCTTACATGGTTCTTCCACTCAGGGACAACCTTGGCACAGGCCTCTTCTATATTTTGATGGCTGGCAACAACCTGGCTAAACCCTTGTCCAAAGTGGCCTCCTCTCAGCAATGAAATGGGGGCACCTCTGAGTGTCCTTGCCTGTACTTCAATACTGGTCTGACCTTATGTAAAAAGCATTGGCTCACTGGGCCCAGTGGGGCATGCCTGTAATCCCAGCGGCTCCGGAAGCTGAGACAGGAGGATTGTGAGTTCAAAGCCAGCCTCAGCAACTGTGAGGCACTAAGCAGGTGTCAGTGAGACCCTGGCTAATAAAATACAAAATAGGGCTGAGGATGTGGCTCAGTGGTCGAGTGCCCCTGCATTTAATCCCTGGTACCCCTCCCCCAAAAAATAGTGCAATGGCACAAGAACTCTGGGAGTGGAACAAATACAAGGACAGATAGAGACTAGCTCTTGAGCAATGCTGTAGGGAAGGGTAGAGTGGCTAGAGGGTACCCAGAGTAGAACAGGCCAGGGGTGAGACTGACATGCTGGATACCTGATCCTGCCCAGATGCAGCCAGGTAAGGAAATGCCAAAACCAAAAATGGGTAGGCATAGGATGCACTCAAAAGGACCTCAGGAAACTGGATGCAGGTGAGGACCCAATGCATTGCATGAATGCAACCAGGAGTACACATTTTTGCTTGTTATTCACAGACTTTATCCAACTCACTTAAATACTAAGCCTCTGTCTCAGGTATTGGCTGATGGTTCGGAGATCTGTGTACATCTGCAGCCTCAGGATGGTCACTTGTAAAGAGCCTTTGGTAGTCCCTCAATCTCCAGCTTCAGTTAGGGATTTTTTAAAAAATTTAACCAGGCTGCTCTCAGTGCCCATTTCAGGTAGCTCAGCAAAGCATATTGCACCTCACAGAGGTCCCCAGAGGCTTTTCACACAGGGCATCCTGACTCAGAAATTTGGAGACAGCAGGCATACACTGAACGTGAAATGATTAACGAGTTTTATTAACAAAAGAGACTCTCCCTACAGTTCCCATCCTCAAACTCCAGCCCTTCAACATCCAAGCCTGTTTCCCGTTGGTGCTCTCAGGTCTCATTAACTGTCAGGATGTTGAGGGTCTTTTGGTGCTGGGAAGGGCCAAAGGCTGCACAGCTGGCAAGATCACGGACAGAGACAGGGAGCCCAGCCACCTCGCTCACATGCGTCAGATCGGTGGACTCACGCTCCAGCACGCTGCCACTGTGGGTGCCAGGTGCCGCAATGCACACGCGACCTGAGGCTTGGCGTGGTGTGCTGTCCAGCAGGCCTGCGAAGATTTTGCGGAAGCCCTTGCGGAAATGCTTGGAGACCAGCGCATAGACGATGGGGTTGACGCAGGAGTTGGCATAGGAGACCAGGTGTGAGAAGATGCGCAGCGCATAAGTGGCGCCCGTGAGCGGAAAGTGACCGAACCACACGCAGAGGATAAGCGCGTGGTGGGGCATCCAACAGAGGCAAAAGAGCGCGGCCACAATGACAATCATACGTGTCACCTTGCGCTTGGCGCGTTGGGCACCAGAGCCCGCAGCCACCGGGTCGACGGCACGCCAGAGGTAGCGCAGAGTGAGAGTGTAGGTCAGTCCAAGAACCAGCACTGGCAACAAGTAGCTGAAGACAAAGGTGCAGAGGTCCATGGCGCGACGGCGTGGCGCGCTCCATGCTGGGTGGCACACTGTCAGGTTGGCCAGCTGCGACTGGCGGTAGTAGCTCAGGTAGGGCCCAGAGAAGAGCAGCGCCAGCACCCAGATGAGCCCGATGGCTGCCAGCGCGTTTCGAGGCGTGCGCAGCTCGCGGGAGTGCAGCGGATAGCGGATGGCCAGATACCTGGAGGCCAGGTCGAGAAGGAAGAGGTCAGGTGAGCCCTTGCACCTCAGGCCCCCGCCTGCTCTCAAGGAAGGTCCCTAAGGCAAGGTTATACCACGTCACTCAGTTAAGCCTCAAAGTGATACAGAGGATGACAGCCTCAAAGTGGTAGAGAGGGTGGCACACTCCTAAGCCACAATTCTGTTGCTCCCCAGGGCTGTGACCACAGCCATACTCCACGTGGGAGGGCACCCACCAGTTACAGAGAACTTGCTACAGGGCTCTGGGAAGCTGTGATTATTCACTAATGAAGGTGACCTGGTAGGAAGAATCCTGGTGCCTGAATCTCTAGAGACAGCTTGAAGAAGACATGTCCTGCAAGGGAAATCCTGAGGGAAGCTGGAGCTCTGTGGGTCCCACCAACACTAGGAACCGGCATACTTAGTGCTAAGTGGAATGGGAGGCGAATGGGGAGTGTGGCCTCACCTCCCTGCTCTTGTGCAGGAGGTCCAGAGGGTGTGAGAGGAAGGGGGAGATATCAGAGTTCCACTGGATTTCTTCCCCAGTTTGAAAGGACACATCCTTTTGAGATTTCAAACTCCACTGAGTCCTGCACTCTCCAAAAGGTGCCTCTCTCACTGTCCTCCTCTGGCTGGGGAGGGAGAGCCCAGTGGTGTGCTCCTCTCCCTGACCCCCAGTTTAGAGGAAGGGTGCAAGGCAGGCTGGAACTGAACCAGGGACCTTCAGGCAGTTCACTTGAGCTATGGCTTGGGTCCTCAAAGGACCCAAGTTCCACAATCTAGATTCAACCCGACTGCTCCAAGCAACCAAATTGTGGCTTTAGATGGAAGCATGGTGGAGGAGTCTGAGGTGGGCATTAAGAGACTGACCAATTGCTTCATGAACAAGATTACCGGCTGGCGACTCTGTGCCAGTTATTTTCGACCTATCTCTTCTGTAAATTGGGCACAGAAATCTCTCCCATCCCATCCCACCCCCACAGGACTGTTAAGCTCAAGTGAGCTTAATGTGTGAAAACAACGCTGGGTACCAGGACATGCTGCACAGTGTCAGGCAGACCTGAGAGCCAAATTGTCCAGACTGTGAGGCCCCCAGGTGGCACCTGAGAGACACCACATCTCCCGTTCCTAGTCCTCTTCCTCCTTTTCAGCGACTGCTTGTCTTTTGCTGGCTTGGATCTCTTTGAGGCCTGTGCGTCCTCTCACTTCCTCCTAGGTCCTAGGTCCCCAGGTCCTCCTTCTCTCCAGCCCCTGCCCTGATGCCCAACTCTCAAAAACCGCCAGAGTGTGCTCACCTGTCCAGGGAGACGGCAGCCAACGTGAAGCTGCTGGCGTGCATGGTGAGGAAGATGAGAAAGTGCACGGCCTTGCAGAGCAGCGAACCGAACACCCAGCCGTCCAAGGTGTAGATGGTGGCCTGGAAGGGCACGCAGCACACGATGAAACACAGGTCGGCCACGCCCAGGTTGAGGATAAACAGATTGGTGGTGCTGACAGCCTGGCCGCCTCTCAGCAGCACGGCCAGCACCAGCACGTTGCCCACGGTGCCCACGAGGAAGATGAGAGCGAAGAGCAGGGGCACGAGGACCGCCTCAGGTTGCCAGCCCGCGCCGCCCGCCTGGCTCGCGTTCTCGGCCACCCAGTCTCCCAAACCATTCATGTTGTCGCCTAACTCGCAGCTGCCCGGGATCCTGCAGTCGTCTGGGTCTTGGACCTCGCAGCGCCCCGTGAGACTCAGTCGAGCTGCAGTCGCCGAGCTGGGGTGCGCTGGAGTTAGGGGGTGGAGCGAAGAACCAAAGGGTGGGATTTTCCCCGCGGAGGCCAGCCGCGCAGGGGAAAGTGGCCGCCCGCCGAGTGGACGCCGCGCGCTTCCAGGCCCAGGCACCCGCAGTCCACCCCGCTACCGAGAGCGGCACTGCCCAGGTCCCCGCGCCCCAGATCCCAGGCTTAGCTGTTCCAGGCTAAGTCGAAGTACTTGGCTTCGGGGCAGACACAGGACTGGAGGGCGCAACCCTGGGACCTGCGTGCGCCCCACCACAGCAAGCGCTCTCCCGGGACCCGCGCGCCCCAGCGCTGCCCTGCAGCCTGGAGGGCGCGGAGCACCCTCAAGAGTTGCTAGGGGGGGCTGGGGATGTGGCTCAAGCGGTAGCGTGCTGGTCTGGCATGCGTGCGGCCCGGGTTCGATCCTCCGTACCACATACATACATACAAACAAAGATGTTGTGTCCGCCGAGAACAAAAAAATAAAAATATTAAAAAAAAATTAAAAAAAAAAAAAAAAAGAGTTGCTAGGGGGATAGGGAACAGGTGACAGGGTATTTGTTTGTTTGTTTCCCTTCTTTTTCCACAGCAAAGTGGGACAGCCGGCCGGGCGCTGCCTGCGTCTGTCCATTTCTCATTCTTGGGAACATCAGTCCTCACCGGAAACCCAGAAAGCAGCTGTGGGAGGCGGAAAGGTTTCTGTAGGAGCTTTAATTACCTTCATCTCACTCTCTTCTTTCGGTCCACACTTTCAAAAAAGCCAAATTGACAAGAAAGGGACATGTAGAAAACAATGGTGCCTCACGTCGTGGGTTGGCACATACCACACACCTCACTCTCTCCTCCTGCCGCACGTAGAACTAGCAGGATGACTTTGGGTACCTATTAACTCCATTGAACATTTCTTTTCCAATTAAATCCTGTAAATGTTACATGGGTGGTAACGCAGGCGCGTTTTTGATCCCAAGGACTCCAGAGGCTGAAGCAGGAGGACCACATGGCCGGCCTGGACAATTTAGAAAGGCCCTCAACAATTTAGGTAGACTCTGTCTTAAAAAATAAAAAGGGCTGGGGATGTAGCTGGGTGGTTAAGTGCACCTGGGCTCAATCCCCAGTATTGTCCCCTGCCCCCAAATCTAGTAAATATTTACTGAGCTTCTACTGAATGTGTCAGCCGCCGTCTTTGGCACTGGGCCTCCGTTTTCTCAGCTGTAATATGGAATGGCAACACTGCTTTCTCAGAAGACTCTGGTGAAAATATAGTGAAATGTGTGACTTGAAGCCACTTCTTTAAATCTGAATTAATGAAATATTCAGATCTCCACAAAGGGGAAACTTTGAGGAAATTCAAAACAGCAGAGTTCCCTGCACCAGCAGCGTTTTTCTGAATAGTGTGTAGGCTGCGATATCTGTTAAGCATTAGTTTCTGCATCAAGCATTGGTAACAGTGAATCATTGCTATTTGTATAGAATATAAGTCTCCCAGTTCCCTAGATCTAAAATTAACTACCTTCTGCCACTGCACCTTTGTTTCTACTTCACCCTCTCCTGCCCTGTTTCTTGGGTCCTAGCCAAGAATATTCTTTTTCCTTTCCCCCAATGATCTCAGACTCTCAGGAAATCAGCTAGGGATTTTTCTTAGTAGGGAGATCTTAGTCTCACTCTGCCAGTCTGCTTACTCATTCAACAGAAAGATGAGGAGGTGAGGGAGCAAGCCAAGCAGACACCTGGGGGAAGAGTATTACACATAGAAGGGAAAACCAGTGAAAAGTTGCTGAGGCAGGAGAGTGCCTGTGTCCCTAAGGCAAGGATTCTGGTAAAGGAAATTGGCAGAAGAAGTAAGAGGAGGAATTTTCCCCCCTTGGTACTAACTATTGAACCCAGAGGTGCTTTACCACTGAGCCACATCCTCATCCCTTTTTATTTATTTATTTATTCTAAATTATTTTTTAGTTTAGGTGGACACAGTATCTTTATTATTTTTTTTTAATGTGGTGCTGAGAATCGAACCCAGTGCCTCACGCATGGTAGGCGAGCACGCTACCACTTGAGCCACATCCCCAGCCCCCCTTTTATTTTTTGAGAAGGGGTCTTGATGAATTGCCCAGGCTGGTTTGGAATTAGCAATCCTCCTGCCTCAGCCCCCTGAGCAGCTGAGATTATAGGTGAACACTACCATGGTAAAAGAAGGATTTTTTCCTACTGTAAGAAGTTGGTTTTTTTTTTTTTTTTTTTTTCTCTGTACCAGGAATTGAACCTAGGGGTATTTAACTACTGGGCCACATCTCCAGCCTTTTTTTTTGTTTTGTTTTTTATTTTGAGAGAGAGTCTTGGTAAACTTCTTTAGGGCCTTGCTAAGCTGCTAAAGCTGGTCTGGCACTTACCATCCTTCTGCCTCAGCCTCTGGAGTCCCTGCACTACAGACTGCACCACCATGCCTGGTAGGATTGTGGCCTTCAGTCTAGTAAAATGAGGAGGCAGTGCAGGATTTTTACTAGAGGACTAACATAATCTGAGCTTTGTTCTTGTTTTGTTTTTGTGGTCCTGGGCATTGACCCCAGGAGTACCCTCCCACTGAACTACATTCCCAGCCCATTTTATTTTTTATTTTGAATCAGGGCTGACTAAAGTTGCCCAGATTGGTCTTGAACTTTCAATTCTCCTCACTCAGCTTTCCAGTTGCTGGAATTCCAGGCACAAATCACTGTTCCTGGCGTATAACCTTTTTTTTTGTAACAGCTTTATTGAAATAAAATTCACATCATACCATTTTCCCATTTAAAGGATTTATTTGGTTCAGAGTTGTGCAACAAGCGCTACAATCATTCCTCCCCACCAAAAGAAGTCCCTGCCCTTTACCAGTGGGCCTCACTTTCCCTTTTCCATCCCCCTTCCCCAGGCCTAGGTCACCACTAATCTACTTTCTGTCTCTAAAACATTGCCTATTCCTGGTGTTTCATACAAACAGACCATGCAATATGTGGCCTTTTGTGCCTTGCTTCTTTCACTTAGAATAATGTTTTCAAGGTTCATCTATGTTATAGCACCATCAGTACTTCTTTCCTTTCTATGGCCAAATAATATTCCATGGCATGATTTTAGCACATTCTATTTTCCATTTATTTGCTGATAGGCATTTAGCCATTTTAATTAATTAATTTATTGGTACCAGGGTTTGAACCCAGAGATGCTCAACCACTGACCCACATCCCCAGCTCCCCCCCCTTTTAAAAATATTTATTTTTTAGTTGTAGTTGGACACAATACCTTTATTTTATTTATTTTTATGTGGTGCTGAGAATTGAACCCAGGGCTGTGCTAGGTGAGCGCTCTACTGCTGAGCCACAACCCCAGCCCGCCCAGGCCTTTTTAAAATATTTTAGACACAGGGTCTTGCTGAGTTGCTTAGGGCCTCGCTAAGTTGCTGAGGCGGGCATTGAACTCCCAGTCCTCTTGCCTCCACCTCCCCATCTGCTGGGATCACAGGCATGTGCCACTGCATCCAGCTAGCCACTTATTTTTAAAATCAAACAATTTATTGTTATTTTTGTGGTGCTGGGGCCTTGAACATGCTAAGCAAATGCTCTACCACTGAGCAATATCCCCAATCCTAAAAGAAATATTTTTAGAGCTGGGGTTGTGGCTTAGTGGTAGAGTGCTCACCTAGCATGCATGAGGCACTGGGTTCAATCCTCAGCACCACATAAAAATGAAATAAATATATTATGTGTCCACCTACAATTAAAAAATAAATATTTAAAAAATATTTTTAATTGTGGTTAAATACACTTTACATAAATTTAATACTTTAACCTTTTTATTGGCACTGGGGATTAAACCGAGGGGCACTCTGCCACTGAGCCACATCCCCAGTCCTTTTTATTTTTCATATTATGACAGGGTTTCACTAAAATGCTGAGGGTCTGGCTAAGTTGCTGAGAATGGCCTCAAACTTACAATCCTCCTACCTCAGTCTCCCCAGTCACTGGGATTACAGGTGTGGGCTACTGCACCTGGCTCACTTTACCATTTTTAAGTGTATAGTTCAGTAATATGTTCACATTGTTTCAGCCAATCTCCAGAACTCAGTTCATTTTTGCAGAACTGAAACTCATTACACAACACCCCATTTCTTTCCCTCCCCAGACACACAAAAAACCCCCATTATCCTACTGTGTCTAAGAATTTTCCTATTCTAGGTACCTCTGATAAATGGGATTCTTTTGTGACAGGCTAACTTAGTATACTATTCTTAAGGTTCATCTATATTGTAGCATATATCAGAATTTTACTCCTTTTTAAGATTGAGTAATATTCCATTGTATGGATACACCACATGTTATCCTTCAAAGGATAATGGATTGTTTCCATCTTGTGTCTACTGTGAATAGTGCTGCTATGAACGTGGATGTATAAATATCTCATCTGGAACCTGCTATCAATCCTTTGGAATGTATACCCAGAGTGGACTTGCCAGAGCATATGGCAATTCTACTTTTAACTCGTGCAGAGCCTCAACACTGTATTTCACAGTGGCTGTACCATTCTATTAGTTTTTATCATTATTGTTGGTGCTGGGGATTGAACCAAGGGGTGTTTTAGCACTGAGCTCCATCCTCAGACCTTTTTATTTTTTATTTTATTGTGGTTAAATACACAATTTAGGGTCTCACTAAATTGCCTAAATTGGCCTTAAATTTCCTATCCTTCTGCCTCAGCCTCCCCCAGTTTCTGGGATTACAGGTGTGCACCAGTGCACATGGCAGAGAAGAGGCTTACTTTGAAAAGTCAATTTAACTTATTTATTTATTTAGGGATGCTGGGGATTGAACCCTCTGGGGCTTTACCACTGAGCTACATTCTTTTTTGAGACAGGGTCTCGCTGAGTTGCTGAGGCTGGTCTCGAACTTGCAATCCTCCTGTCT